TTTATAGGCGCGAAAGTCATGAAGTTCCTGGAAGACTTGAAAATCAAAAGGATCACATCTTCGTCCTATCATCCGAGCGCAAATGGTCAAGCGGAATCAATGAACAAAGTAATTATACAAAACCTCAAAAAGAGATTGGAAGCAGCAAAAGGCAAATGGCCCGAGGAACTACCTGGAGTACTATGGGCATACCGAACAACGGCTAAATCGAGCACAAGAGAGACTCTTTTCTCCCTTGTGTACGGAGCAGAGGCCCTGATCCCGATAGAAGTAGGGGAGCCTACTTTGAGATACTTCCAAGAAAATTAAGAAGCAAACAATGAAGCAATGTTTGTCAATTTGGAGCTGCTCGACGAATGCAGGGACTTGGCACACATAAGGATGTCAGCTCAAAAGCATCGAATAGAAAGATATTACAATCGAAGAGCCAACCTCCATATTTCAAAGTGGGAGACTTGGTTTTAACGAAATTAACTCAGAACACCCGAGAACTCAATACAGGGAAGCTAGGTCCAACATGGGAAGGCCCCTACCGATTTTCGGCTGTCATAGGGAAAGGATCAAACGAGTTGGAGAATCAAGATGGGGAAATTTGCCAAGCAATTGGAATGTGGCACACATCAAGAGATACTATTGGTGATGAACATCACCTGTACTGAAAGTATGTGCTGCACTCTTTTTCCCTTCGTCCAGTTTTTGTCCCAATTAGGTTTTTTTTGGAAAGGTTTTTAACGAGGCAATAACGGAAAGCATACTACAAAGGAAGTTTCTACAGCAGCAATAAGACCTTTTAATAACAAGGCACACGAGCGAAGAACCACTCCTGAGCGGTTAGATAATCTTTTGCTCGATAGCAAAGTTCCCACTGGGAAGTTTAGTTTGCTATCGAACAAAGGTTACCCGACCATTCACAAGTGCAAGCCACTAGGGGATCGTTAGATAGTCTTTGGCTTGATAGCATAAATTCCTAAGGGAAAATGAAGTTTGTTAACGAACTGAATATTATCTAGCAATTGATTAGTGGAATCCTCGAAGGTGTTAAACTTCCAGTATTCCAATTCGCATTCTTCGTATTTGAACACTTGGGGGGGGGGGGGGGAGGGAATGATATGAGGATACTTCAACAATGGCCACCGCTTCGACCGGAATACGAAATCTAGAAACATAGTTATATCATCGGGACCGGGGGACTGCGCGGCCAACCCCGTAAAAACAATTTGTCAAGTTAGCCACAAGAAATGACAATTTCTCTTTGGCACAACACATGCTTATGTACTTTTTGAAAATGGAAGGAATAAAGGAAAGTCTTTTTATTTCTATCTTGTTTCTTATCTGAACGATGAATTGATTTTGTCATTTGAAAGTTAAACAAGTACTTCAAATTCTAGTGTCGTAATGAACATGAGTTGTCCTCTTCAAGAGCGCCGTAAACATAAGAGGGCCCTCTCTTATGAAAACCATCATGATAAAGGGTTGATTTCGGAAGAACCTGCGCCCGAAATCCAAACGATTTCAGGGGAAAATACACCCAAAGCCTTGCATAATTAGACACAAATGGTAAAACTTCCGCAAAACACTTAAACAAAAAAGCATGCAAAGATTAAACTTGCATAAATGTTTAAACAAAAGTACGCAGAAAGGAAAACTCACGCAATACTTGAGCAAAGGGAGTTTTTTATTTACAACGAATGTGCCAAACGACACATGTACAAAAGTAGGGAAAAGAAATGAAAAACTAAGCTGCCGCATCTCCGAAACCTGGAGGAAGACAAACATTCACGCCCCTAGGAGAAGTGGGTAGATCCACCGCTGGCTCAATGCCTTTGCCTTCATCATTTTTACCTTAAGCATCATCGCCTTCCGGTTCCTCTATAACATATATTTTTTCAACAATGAAGGACGCCGCTCGGTGAAGCAAGAAAATTGGCCTGCGAGACAAAAAAGGCAAACTCAAAATACTACTATATCAAAGATAGAAGAAATAACGAAGGGAATGAAGAATATACTGGTGCGGCGTTGTGCATGGTATTGTTCAACAAGCACTCTCCCGAGAGATCTTGAATCTTTTCCCATTCGTTTTCAAGTTCCACTAAACGGGACAACAGATTGCATCCGTTAGAAACCGAGAACGAAATGCCTCCTTTGCGGGTATTCTGAGGGGGCGGCGTAATTTTGCCCCAAGTTCCCATGAATTGGGGACTGGGGGAGAGGAACATTCTCTTCTTGGACAAATGCAGCCGGTGGAGATGATGTAGTAGTCGCCGGTGGAAGAGTTGGTGAAGAAGGAGATGAAGCTGATGGCATTGAAGGATGAGAAGCGGCTGCGGCAAGCGTAGCGCTGGGTGTTGGTTGCTCGTCAACCAAAGATGGCAGGGACCCGATACTCAGCCTCACGGTACCGGGCGCAACGACTGGGATTCAGAAATGGGAGTTGGTATTTTCCACCATTTCAAACTCCCCCTAGAGCGCCGAGGCATCATCCTCGGTTGGTTTAACTAACTCAACAGATTGAGCAGTCTGTTGAGTTGAGGAAGATCGTCGTCTTCTATGTAGAGAAGACCTTTCCTCGCTGGCTTCCCCATCATTGTCAATCATCACAGTGTCTATGGTCGGCCCGGGTGGGGGGCTCGTCACCACAACTTTCGGAGATGACTCGGGAGCGGAATTCTTTGCCCTCTTATTCTTTCCCCCGGCCATGGAGGAACATCTTTTTTTTGGTTGTTTGTTCTCCGGTCGGGGACTCTGAGAAGTGGCACTTACACCAGAAGTAGGCTCGAAGACACCTGTCTGTGCAAAAGCCTCCTGCAGCAGCCTCACCGCATCAGTAGGATTAGCCAAAACGCCATCCTCAGGGATGACAACTGAGCCCTGGTGTAGACCTGAATTTAACAGGAGAGAAGAGTCAAACGACTTCCTTATATGAAAAGGTAAAAAACAAGATGAGTTCGACTTACCATGATTTTTGTCCTTCCACCCATATTTCAGGGACAAATTCTTCCACGTGCGGGTTTCGGGTGTAGTTATGTCCAAAATTTTCTGGACCCATTGGTCCAAGCCCTCAACCCTAGGTGGAACCCATCGAGTCACTGAAATAGGTAAAAGAAGAAGGGTCAATAATAATGTGGAATGATCTTTAACAGAAGAAGAAACAAACGATAGGCTTACGAGTGTGGTTCCATAATTCCGGAAAGGATGGATCCATGGGCGGGATGATGTCACTGGTGGCGACTGAAATGAACCGTTCCATCCACCCACAGTCGTTGTCATCATCCATATTGGATAGCAGTGCATGGTGGCCACGCTTGCTGAAACTTATCATTCCCCCGCGGAAGATTTTGGGGGAATAGAGGTTCATTACTCGAGCTAGAGATATATCTTCTCCCATTTTCTGGCATAGGCACCGAAGACAAGCGATTGTCCTCCACACGGAAGGACTTACCTGAGCCAAGCACACCTGATAGCGGAGGCAAAACTCTACAATGACGGAGTCAAGCTCTCCACTCAAAGAAAACGCTCCCAAAGTGAAGGGATACATGTATAAAATGTAAAACCCTTCTTGGGTAAAGTTATCCGCTCCGCCAGGTCGGGAGCGATAACGTCCAAATCTTGACAATGATAGTCTTCCTTCACAACAGGGATACTGGAAGGACAGATAGAAGAAGGGTATACACTAACAACCCACGTACGAGGGTGAGCAGAAGGATACTTCTCTTCTAAATCTTTGGTGGTGATTAGATTCTTTGGGATGATGGTACTCATCGTAGAGGGAGCATCATCATCAGCTTTACCTTTGTTCTTTGAAGAACTAGGTTTTCTAGAAGAGAAGGCCATTTTTATCAGAAGAAGGGTGTTTTCTCTCAAATAAGAAAGCTAAAGAAAGGTTAAAGACAAAGTATGAGTTGAGTAAAGAAGTTTGGGAGAATTTAGAGTATTATGAAGTGTGAATGAATGAGGTAGATGCGTATAAGTAAAGGTATAGGCAGCTAAACTCGTGGCCATAATTACCTCGATAACCCGCAAAAGTGATGCTAAATCGTGGGATGACGCGTGTTTGAGGCATTAAATGCGGAGAGACATACGTCTAATTAACCTTCAGAAACTTTTCAGATGAGGTCAACGAATTTCCCGCCAAAGGAGATGTTTCTACCAACTTCCTGGTGACACAAAGTTATGCCATCGGAAAGCAGGGGGACTATCTGTATAGGCTAAAATATGTTCATATTAAATGATCGCATGATGAAGTGACACATAAAGCCGAAGACGGAAGATAGGTTAAACCGAAGGCAACAATCCCATCTATTACAGAGCGAACGATACTCATAAAGATGAAATAAATGCCTGCCACCCGATAGCATTTAATAAGGGATATTCTACAGCATTAAGTACACGACCCGTCATAAGGAATATGGCATTCACTCTCTACCGTTACACATTTTTCAATGGCCCTCATAATTGACATTAAAGAGGGGCTTGATCCTAGGACCTTGTTCCCTAGGTGCAACTATAAATAGTAAGCTCTATTATTGTAAAGGACACGTCTTTTCTGGCAAACATACGCTACACTCTATCCAAAGCTTAATATAATTTTATCTTCTTGTTCTTTGATATTATTGTTGTTGTGCCCGGAAGCCTTGCTCCCGGAATTACTGTTTCTGCTATTTTATCACAATCTCAAGGCTAAGTATTACATTTTCATGTAATTCATCGATTATTTCAGGATTGAATTAATTCACTTGTCTATAAACAACGTATAAATTCAACTGTATCGTTTTACGGGTAAACAATTATATACAACAAAAAAAACAAATTTTATACACTAATGCGTCTATCGGATGTAAATAGTTTGGCTGACTAAAAGTGATCTCTTTTCTTATCAGTTTGAATGAGATTGCTCGCATATTAAAAGTATATAAACATTCTCTTTTGATATAAAAAGGGAACACCCTTTAAATTGCTCTTTTATGAAGTTGCATAAAACTAGAACCCATTAGGACAAGACGCATGTTTTATGCCTCTATCACACCATGTATTTTCTGTTTGTTGAAAGACAATACTGGTCTTTTGCCTCTGAGTAGCTATCAACTACTAAGACCATTATATCAGGACAAGACACTGAATTGCATTTTCCAGTACTGGCAATGTACATTCCCATACACAGCTCTATTGATTCAATCTATTTCATCCTCTTGAATTGTAGTTACAGTTAGACCAATGAAACCAACACGTGATTTACAAGTCACAGATCTGAATGTTTACATACGCGCAAAATAGGGGTTGATTCTAAATCGTTGATCTTGATTCATTGCCCTGGAGAGGACTAATGTAATTCCATGAATAATGGCAACCAAAATCTCAAGGTATTTTCAGAAGTCTACTGCTTTCACTCGTCGAAAAATCACTTGATTGAGAGCTAGATAGGCTAGCAAACTCAGAAGAATGAATAGACATTCCATCAGTAGAATACCATTCTGAGCACAAACTATCTTTAGTTACGGAAGACCTAGTTGTTGTATCTGGAGGAGCTAGTAAACTTGAGTTTAGGAACGGAGGTTGCATAGGCACCGGAACTTCAGTTTCTTTGTCTCTTAGGATTCTTACCACTTGAGACATAGATGGTCGCGAAAATCTTCTGGTTTGTGTACACAATAACCCTAGTTGAAGCACGCGTGATGCCTCCTGTTCTTGAAAATCACTCATCAGCCTGTTGTCGATGGACTCAGTAATCTTATTCAACTTGTAGTTTCTCCACACCTAATACAAGAGGCAACAACTTTTGCTCATGTAAATGGCAAACAATTGCAACAATTAAAGGGGGACAGCACGAATTGTGTGACCAACTCGTCTAAAAGCTTAAACTATAAGAGAGAGCAGACTTTTATTTATTTATTATATTATGTTTTAAACACTCTGATGAAATGAGGATGGATTTGAGACTTACAGATTGTAGAACTGATCCGGAATCACTCACAAAGACGTTGTTCTTTTTACAACATGCGACCTCTATAGCCACCACACCGAAGGAATAAACATCTGCTTTCTCTGTTAAACATCCTTGAAGAAGATACTCAGGAGCTAGATATCCCCTACATCAGAATTAATTGTATTATCAGCACTTTAACAATCTTCAGCCGATTAAATAAGGAACAAGAAGTAATGGATTCAAATTTTCCCTTGGAAAAACATGACATTTCTCTTGAAACGAAGTATTCATGCAGAAACTTGAAACTAATTTGAATACTGATAACTTACAAGGTTCCTGCAACTCCAGTGCTGACATGAGTTTTATGGGGAGCAAAACGTCGAGCAAGTCCAAAATCAGCAATTTTTGGGATGAGTTGTTCATCAACTAAAATATTACTGTTCTTAATATCTCTATGGATTATCTTTGCTTTGCTTCCTTCATGCAGATATGCAAGCCCTTCTGCTATTCCCAATATGATTTGAAACCTCTCCGTCCAGCTCAAAAATTGACGCTTGTTCTTATCTTCAAGAAAAAGCAATCAAATTATTGTATCTGCTCCAAAAAAAGTAAAATAAGATAACTAATCAGGCTAAAAATCAAGAATTGTTACCAAAAAGCACTTGATCAAGGTTCTTGTTAGATACAAAATCAAAAACCAGAAGACTCTCTGGTCCTTCTATGCTACAACCCAAGAGTTTCACAACATTCTCGTGTTGAATACCACTGATCAAATTGACCTCATTAAAGAAATCCTCTGCCCATTGGCGCGTATTGTACAATAATCTTTTGACAGCAACAGTTTTTCCATCAGGAAGAATCCCTTTATATACTGAACCTGATCCCCCTTGGCCTAACTTGTTTAAGGGATCAAAGCTGCCTGTTGCTTTTTCTAACATTTCGTACTTGAAATTTAGTTTCGATGTCTCAAGAGCCCGCGGAATCTTATGAACCCTCTTTGTACCTATGTATATCACGAATAACCAGATGATCCATCAGAACATGAACAAACAGAAATTAATAGAGACTGAAGATTTTGAATAGAACAGAATGCAAATTAACGAATATACCTCCTTGCTCCTTAGAATATCTTCTATAGCCTAAAAAAGCTCCTAAAATAGCAAATATTCCCAAGATAGTCAATAATACAATCGCTGCAATTATCCATATATTCTTACGCTTCGTTGGTCCTGGAAAAGAAAAATTGAACAAGAGATCAAAAGTAAGCTAGAAATACCCAAATGGTGATTGAATTTGTTAAGAAAATGGACCTTAGTCCTCACTCAACCCAAAAAGTTAGCTCATGAAGTGAGCATTGCCCAAAACTATAAAACGAGCCAATAACTCATTCCTTCAACTAATGTCACACAAATAAACACTCCCCAGCACCCCCTAGGACTGAACATTTGGACCATAGACAACATAACATGAACCCCAACATCAAGTAAACCAAGAATAGAGATGAACTTGACTCTGATACCATATTAATAAAATGGACTCTAGGCCTATCTCAACGCAAAAATCTAGTTCATGAGGTAAGGATTATCGAAACCACATAAAATGACAAACAACTCATTCCCTCGACCAATGTTTAACAATCTAACAAAATTTTCAACCGAGTGTGCTTTGTAAAATTTTTTGTTACCTTTATCAGCGAGGACTAGTGCTCCATCACCGAAGAATTTATTAGAAGAATATCTCAAATAGCAACCAGCATTCATTGCTTTTCCCTCTGCAGCAGGTAAACATTTTCTTATCATATCTGCAGCATTATTCAGGCACTTAGTACATATTTCCACGTCCAATGAATCCCAACATTGGCCTAATGCATAAACAGCAAGCAGCCCACTTTTCACAATCGTTGCCCCAAATCCTTTATTTACTATCGACATGCTCGTGACATTCGCAATTGCACGATCCACTCTTGCTGCAAAATCCCTCTTCATATACTGATCATTCGTTATATCTGTTGGAACACCACAAACAAAACTAGAAGAATTCTTCTGCACGCTCTCGTCGAAAAAATCATAATTTTCATATCTGAGAAAACAACCGTCTAAGTAAACAGAGCCACCAGGTGCAGGAATGCATGTGTTGAGCTTATCTTTAGCTTCGACGAAACAGAGTTTGCATTCGTCCTGAGAAAGATCGTTATGGCATTTCGCTAATCCATATATATCAGGTGAAGTAGAGCTCAAGGAATATGTTGCTGACTTATTTTCAGAAATGAAATCATTGAGAGTTCCCATGATTTCCATGTATTTTGGGAATAAATCGCTTTTAATTGACACATTTGTACGAGGTTTACAAGAAATATTAGCAACAGAAGTTCTTGGATCACAAAGAGAAGGAGACAACAGAAAGATAAAGAAAATTAAGGAGATGAACGTGACATTTTCAAGGTATATTGCTGGAAAATGCATTAAATCTAAATAGGAATTTTCTTTTCTTCTTTTTTATTGATTTTGATCCTAAGTTACTCTATTCCAGAGATAATGAAATTGTGACATATGTATAAAAGGTATTTCTGTAATAAATAAACATATTTGTACAGGGCAAGAGAAGGATTGAAAAGATTAAAGTCAATGTGTATGGAAATATCTAAGGGTTGAGTCTTCAATTTTCTCCACCTCTTCTTCTTCTTCCTCCTCTCTCTTTTTATTTTATGCAAATACACATAAGAATGCATAAATGTATTGTAAAATTAAAATTTGCAGAGGAGGGGAGAAGAAAATAAGGGGGCGTGCCCCGTTTGGGGAAACTTGAAAGTAATTTCAATGATTTCGATCCGATTTTAATTTGTTCTTTTTCAAAATAGAGAGTTGAGATAATATAAATGGCTAATATCAATTTCCAAGTTCCATCACAACTTAATTTTTCTTAAATCTTATTGGTGGTGATAAAATCATTCAGAATGTTGGATTTTGAATAATTTATACTTTCTTTTAATCTAAATCATTTTGTTTCATTTCTATTTAGCTTATGTTTACCTCGAAAAATACGAGTAACAATTAAACTTGATCGTGGTTTTAAAGATATGTGATTTAGTTCAATACCAATTAATACTCAAGAAATATGAAGCAGAAATGAAAGATAGAAGTGAATCAAACCAATGTTAGTTAGCAGCAGTGACCTCGAGACGGTGACCTCGAGGTGGCCTAGGGCAGTAAGAACAATGAAATAATAAAATCAAAGTAAGAACAATTAAGCTAAGGGACAATTCTGATGAACAGCAGGCAAAAAGGAAGAGAGTATATTCTTTGCTAAAAAAAAATAGTCTTACAAATGATTGGGGTCCCCCTTATATAATGGGGGAACCCTAAATAAGGAATATTTCTATTTATAGTAGGGAATATTCCTGATACAGCTGTCTAACCGCCTAGTACATAATTGTACAATCTTATTCCGTAATTTGCGCCATGACTTTGGGGACGTAGCAGGAATCTAGCTCGCTCTGGTACAAATCCATAACGGTACTATTTTGAGGTCGAGCACACCTGATGTCGGCGTTCCTCGAACTCCTGCCCCCGGGCACTACACTTTGTCTTCGAGCTTGAGTCTGGTTCGCCGGTTTCGAACATGACCTCTCCCCAACTCGAGCCTAGGGCGGAACCTCGAGCTTCTACATCGGGGGCATATGATTTTGACCATATACGGATAGTCCCCGCGTTTCTTAGAATAAGACGATAAGAAATGATTTGCACTTTGACCTCCCCAAACTTCTCATGATGATGTCACGCTCGTGACGTAGGCGCTTGAAATGACCGGAAATGTCACGTCGGTGCTCTTCCCCAAAACATCAAATGTGTATCAGTGTTGGTTGGCCTGATCCGTCACCGCCTTTCTATAAATAGGAGGCTATTCTGTTAAACAAAGAACTGTACTTTTCTCATATTTATCTACTTTTGATCTTTTCCCTTCTTTGCTTCCTTCTTTAATTGCCTATTTCCATGGTTCGAATCTGTGGACACAAGGTCACATGGCAGCAATTTTACTAGTTATGCCAAGGTTCTCTTTTTCAAAGCTTTGATTCGAAACAATGCGAGAAGGACGCCGAATCCTTCTCGCATCAGAAAATTTGTGAACTTTTCACTGCTGCTCATCTCTCTTAACTTCAACCTGGTGTAGCACCTCATTCCTTTTGCTCTCCATGGAATGAGGTGGCACTATCATCTACTAACTTTTGCATCCCACCCCGGAACAATGTCCCAGGATAAAATTTCTTGGATCGTTGCTCGTGCATCTTGTAACCCTTTTGATTTTTCTTGTGATAGAAGGTGAACCTACATCTTCTGGTCTTTTCCTTTAATGCTCCCTTTTTAGCAGATTATGTCCCAAAACTTCAACGGAATGCTCAATCCATGTTGCTGGAAATATAGTTACATTCATCGAGGGTTTTCTGCCCTAAATCTCTTCGGGCGTACAGACATTTTTCAAAGATCAGAAATGGAGTCCTCGGGGAGGAGGTTCCCGAAGATGGTGCTCTCGAGGATGCGGCCTTAAGAGTAGATTAGGTTGTTGGCCTCTGTTTCATGTTTCTTTGTTCCTGCGTGAATACCTTTCACGGATATTGTAGTTATATTTTGTAACCATCTCTTGTAAATATAAAAGGATCTCTTTGTCTTACTTTTGGCTCGTGTTGAATTTTCATTCCATCTGCAAAAAAATTCGATGGCATAACTTTGGTGATTGACCCGAACACTGGACTCAGAACATAATATACCCTTAGGTTTCAGTCGATCAATATAATACCCCTTAAGGTTTTGTTAACCCTTGAGCCAGGCCCAAGTTGATTTGATGCGAGCTCGAGACACCGATGCTTTGAGTTCGAGCTGAGTGAGAGAAAGGTTTCGAATTTGAATTAAAGTTAGCCCTTAGGCTTCATAGACAGTCCCCGAGTGAGAATTTTCTCAAAATTGGGTAGCCCGTGGGCTCAGTAGCCGAGCTAGCACTCGCTCGAACTCAAAATAGGTCGATAAAAAATGGATTAATCTTCGACGCCTTGTGATGCCAATCGACATCAGCGGCTGAAGTGACTGAAAAGTTACTTCTTGTGCGGTTCCCAAAGTCATTAATTCGAGCCGGCTGACGGTCGGCCTTTTGGCTTCCAAAGTACGGTTATATGACCCCTATAAATAGATAAACTTCACACCTTTGCAAACTTTACTCTCATATTGTTCTCACAGTCTCATTAGCTCTTTCAATTTCCCTGAATTCTTCCTTTTCTTCTATTTTCCTATCAACATTCTCCATTTTCTTGAATTTCTGTATCACGATGGCTAAAACCTCTAATCTGGTTCCCCAAAAAGAAAAAGCTTCTTCATCTTCTCGACCGACCAAGGGCAAATCGGTGGTCCCTCCTCGTATTGAGGAGTGCATCCCCCCGCCGTGTGAAATAACATCCAATTTTAAAATCGAAAAACCTGTGTCGACACCAGGCCGATGTGAGCCCATGTCTCGGTACGTTTGTTTGATAACCAAGGACGAGCTTTCGCAAGTAAGAGGAGACTGTAAGTGGGAGAAAAAGGAAGTAGTGATTCCTTCCTCCGAGGAGGACATCACTACATATAAAGTGGGGTACTTGGGCGTATATACCTACCCATTCACGCTAGGTCCTGCAATTCCGGCTCAGCGTCCCATAGATCTAGTTATCCTTGAGTTTTGCCAACGATACCGAGTGACGCTTGGTCAGATCTACCCCTCATTTTCGAAGGGGATGTCTTTTACCCTCGACCATATGATCAGACTGTACAGTCCTCGGCTTTATCGTGGTGGCTTGATAAAATTGCAACGCCGATCCCTGAAATCTCTCTTCTGTAGCATCGACGAGGACAAAGACCGAGGGTGGATGAGCCGGTTTGTCCGAGTCAGGACCTCCGACCTGATTCCTGCTGATTGGATGTCGTTCCCCGAGGAGTGGAACATGAAACGAAAGTATATAGCAGGTTTATACTCTGCTTTCTTTTCTTTTTCTCAGTTTCATCCTTCTTTTTTATCTAACCCCTTTCCGATGGCGCATCCACTACTTGGTTTCCTGGTGCGGTCCTGGACCTCGAAGGCTGGGTTCGAAAGCTGGCTTCCACTTCCTCTTATTTGGAGCGTTGCTGGCGAGATTTGGCCAAAGGTCGGTAGGAGGCCAAAAACCATGGTGAGCTCCCTTGTTTGTTTTCTTGTACTTCTCTTTATGGTATATTTACTTAGATTTTGTATAGGTCTTGGAGATGCCGTTGCTATGCGGCCGGCTCCGGAGGACGAAGAAGAGGTTCCGAAGTCTTCTAAAGAAAGAAAGAGAAAAGAGAGTCACCCACAAATACCCCAAAGCCTAAGAAGAGCGTGGCTCGATGGTCCAAGGTCGATACAGTGGCCTTATCTCCGGAAACGGCCTAACGCCTTCGGGATCAGGAGGAAGAAGAAGATGACGACTACCTGTTGGTAGCTCGTGAAAGAAAAACTACCAGTGCTTCAAAGACCGTCGAGCCGGTGAAGGTCGATGTGTCTCATTCCAGAGTCGAAGAAATCTCTAAGGGGAGTTCAAATAAAGTTCCGGAGTCATCGTGCAGAAAAAAGGCACCTCGCCTAGGAGGCCACTTGGAGGGTGAGGCCGAACGGCCCAGTCCCGAGCCTCTTCAAAATAAAGAGAACGCCCCAAGTGTATCATTTGGGGTAATCAATATAGATGATTCACCTCATGGCCCTGAGTTCTCTGAGGGGCAAATCCGAGACGCTCAGAATATGAGGTCTTCTGAAGTGGAAGCAAGCCATGAAGGACATGACATCTTTCGAGAATGCCTTGCAGGGCTTGAAGATGGCCCCGACCCGGATGCTTCTTTCATTTTTGATGAGGCTCGTAGACTCTTCAAACAAGTGAGTTTTCTGTTTGTTATGCCTGCGCCTATGTTTTTGCTATTTGAATCCCTCTATCCTCCTTTTTTTGAAGGAATTGGTGCTCCACAAAAGGCATTTTCCAAGTCTCGAACCGATCTTGCTCGATGTGAGGCATAGCTTAAGAAGATTTCGAAAGAGAGGGACGATCTTAAGGCCCTCTATGTAAAGAAAAAGATGGAGATCAACGATTTACGAGTTGAATTGGAACAGTCTTACCAGGGACGAGTTGAGTATGTCGAGAAGGTAATATAGTCTCTGAGGGTCTGCTATGTACTTGTTTGTTTTGACGACTAATACTTTTAATTACGCAGTTTTTCCAGGAGGCCGACTTGGTGGCGCAGCTTCGGGAGGAGCTTAATATGAAAGAGGCCAAGACCCTGGGGTGGAGGCAAGGTATGGACAACCTCGCTTCTGAGAAGGAAACTCTTCGAGAGCAGCTGGCTTCACTCGAATGTCAATTCCAAAGTGTGAAGGAGGAGAGCCTAGCTCGTGATCGCAAAATCGGGGAGCTTAAAGCTAAATCTGCTGCCGAGTTGGCCAAGGCCAGATCTGACGCTGAGGCAATTATGTCTTCGTACCAAGCCGATGCTGAAGCAGCTAATGCTCGAGCCAAGGAGATTTCTTTTGCAGCAAAAGTTAAGTTATCAAGTGCACTTGATCACGCTAGGCGACAATCCCGGGGGATAACCCTCGAGGAGGTACATGCTCGCGGCTTCGATCTCTCTGCTGATATCGAAAGTGCGAGGATTTTAGAAGAAGAAGCTGCCGCTCTGCTTTGTGACGAAGATGATTCTGCCAGTGGCTCCAAGAGTGGGGGAGACGAAGATGGTATCCCCGAGGATGAGGCTCTAGAAGATGCGACTGCAGAAGATGTGACTCCGAAGTAGTCTTAGGTTTCCTTA